ACATGACTTTTCGTATTTGCTATTTGTAAACTTAATAACAATAGAACATCCTTATCATGCTCTATGAGGAATTAAAAGGAGAGAGAAATTCACACATAACAATACAAATAGTCATATGAAGTTCTCGAATTAAAGTTTAAAGCAATAAACAGTAAAATTTCTTATCGTACGCTTTATATTTAACAAACACTAGCTGACCCAGAGTACTTCGTACTACTGACAATAATTTTAGAAATGATAAACGACGAACGTCAAATGTTTCACAGGAATATAGATAGAACAGTTTATATGGAAAAATGAAATTGTATTTTCAATATCCTTCCTCGCAACTTTTCTATATTTTCTCACCTTTTAAACCTTCCTTAGACCTCCACGAACATATCAAGACCAAGATAAGGGGCCATCCATAAATTACGTCACACGTTAAGGGGTGGGAGGGGGTCGACGAAGTGTGACATCGTGTGACAAGGGGGTGGGAGGGGTCCTAAATTTCGTGACATCACATTTCAAAATCTATTATAATCTAAGTGTTGAAACTATTACTTTACGTAAACATTAACAACCCAAACGAGAACAAACTGGTGCTATGCCAGTTATAAATAATTTAAAGGAGTTGGTTCAGTGTCCATGGACTTACGATTATTAAGTTTGTATCTTTAATTTAATTATAATGCTATTAATATTTTTTGTTTTGTTAATTTCTTTAATTAATGATGTCAATCGTTTTTTGTTTTGTTAATTTATTTAATTAACATAGTCAATTGTTTTTTGTTTGGTGATTTCTTTAATTAATATAATTAATCGTTTTTTCTTTTGTTAATTGTTTGATTTGATGTTAATATTATTAAAAAACAATTAAAATGGAAATAAAACTGATTTCAGAACCGTTGTTTTCATTCAATAATTTTTAAATGTCAATTTGCACAATATGTGACGTCACACTAGGGAGGGGGGGAATCTCACAAATGTGACTAGCTGTGACAAGGACGGGGGGAGGAGCAAAAAATCATGAAATTCGTGTGACGTAATTTATGGATGACCCCTAAGAGAAATCCGTTCAGCCGTTCTCAAGTTTTAGCGAGACTAACGAACAGCAATTGATTTATATATATATATGGTACTAGTTGATTTATGGTATGAAATTAAAAAGATTGAGTCATATTACTTTAAGTTTATGGCTGTTTTGTTAACTTATAAATTAGCGTTTGCCTAAGTACAAAGATAACCACTTGTAACGGTGTGGCGTAGCCGCACGCAACCGATCCCCTTGTTTATTCCTAATTTCATACGGGTCACTTAAACCGCCAAAGTTAAAAGAAGTGCTTAAATAACTTAGTCGAATTAAAAATATTTATATTAATACCTGGACATTTTTCAACCAAAACGCATCTTTTTGTATATTCGTCTCTGACGTAGCCCGCCGAGCAGCGGCATCCAACTTTGCACTCCCATATAGATGAGCAGATCGACCGGCCTAACAATGTGTGTTAATTTAAAAACAAAGTTGTATAGCTTGTACCATCTATGGTACTAGCCTGGTATTATTGACATAAAGTGGGATTACTTTCCTATTACCACGAGCTGAAATGAAAAAGTTATTGAGGTAGGGCAATTTCCCATTCGGATTGGAGCGCCCGGCTCGGGAATTAATCTACAGCTCGCAGAACTTTTGTGGTATCACTGTGGAATAATTCTACCATTTGATGGTGATCTGTTTTTGACGATGAGTAAGGTTCGAGTGCTCCAAGGGGTATGATAATATTAGGCAACGGCGCAAGTAATTAATCTAATATACAAAATTCTCGTGTCACGGTGTGCGTAATTGAACTAATCCGAAACGGCTCGACCGATTTTCGTGAAATTTTATATGCATATTCAGTAGGTCTGAGAATCGGACAACATCTATTTTGCATCCCCCTATATGTTAAGTCCGGTGGTCCGGTCCCCCCTTAATTTTTTTATTTTTTTGGGCAAAATTTTTTGTTTGATTCATCGTACATAAATACATACAACCTTAAATTTTCACCCTTCTACCACCAACCCCTATTTTTTTATGGCGGTACGAAGTTCGCTGGGACAGCTAGTATACTATAACAAGGGTGTATATGTTATAGCGGTCCAATGTAGTCCTCGGAAAAAACAGTGAAAATAACAGTATCGCAAGTGTCTATAGCCTAGGCTGCTTACTATCACCTAAAGTGTCTGCCTCTGCCTGGTTGACTTGCGGTGAAATTAAAAACATCGTTATTTTATCACAAGATCCGTTATTTAAAATACGTAAGAAGGTAAAATATTTAAAACGATGAAGTGATGATTGATTTTTGCTATGTCGTCATTTCAGAAAGATCCGATTTCAATGTAGATTAAGTTAATTGTTTCAATATTGTCTCGGGTTTAATATTTTTGCCTTCACCGTTTCCGGATTACATGGAAACAAGTGGTTGCATACCTTCATACGTATTTACATAAGTATTTTGTTATCAGACTTAAAATATACCTACTTCCGTAATGTATGACGTGTATCAAATTTTTTTAATAGAAGCCTTCTAGATTTTTAACCACAGGCTAAATTTTAATGTAAAGTATCTAAGAGGACATTTTTCTCCTTTTATAATAATGTTGTTATTATTTTGGCGACAAAAAGTAGGTCATTTTCCTAGGTTCAATTTATCTATAACTTAATCCCATGTCTCGTATATATTGTCTAGGTAATAAACTATCTGCGTGCTAAATTTCATCCAAATCCAACGCCCCACTGAATCCTGGAGTTTTTTTTTCTTTTTGTGTGTTCGTTAATTTATATAATTACTGCAATCTTGCAAGTTTTTCTAAATATTTTCTTGCATGCATTAAGATAATTTTCCGAGACCATCAGGAATGTCTTAGATCAAATAGTTTTCTTGTATTAAAATTTAATAACACCAAGCCAATTCGTTTGTTTTATTTAAATGCAAAAATGCAATTATTGCAAATAACTTTACCCAGAGGCAACAGATGTAAATTCACACAAGTCGGAGGACATTTCCATCCACATAGCGAATACTCCTCGTGATCTTTCAAACAGATTGAACTCCTAAAACCAAAAGATATCCTCAATAACGTAATAATGATTATTGTAAAACACTGAAACATTGCGAACTCAATACATAAGAGTTTTTGCTAACAATAAAACTATAACTCTGGTACGCCTAAAATAAATAACACTATAACTCTTCTACGGTTTAATATTCTTACGACATGGTCGTAATAAATCGTTTTTAGGATTCCAAAGGCTGCGAAACGGAACCCTACTTCTAAGATTAATTATGATTTAATCTAAGCCCTACAAAAACATACCTCGGCTCTGTCTGTACGGTATAGGTAGCTAGACATCTAACATTTTTACAGAATCCATACATGAAATGAGATATTTTTTGTACTATGGTACAAAATCATTAATTTGTGAATCCGACTCGCAATTTATCCGGTATTTTAATTTTTACCATTTCCCAACAAACACGTGATGAAAATAGTAAGTACTTGTAATTGAGCATTTCCAAATTTGTATTATTTTTGTAAGTACTTAGCTATAATTATTTGTAAAAGATTACTTATTTGTTATAAATTATATTTTTTCACATAATGTTATTTATTTTGCTTACAGTTTTGCCTAACCGTGACCCAGATGAAGATATCTGCAGTGACACATACTACTATTTTATGCAAATGCAAAGTTGGTTTACTTAATTCTGTAGTCGATATTTTGAAATGTAAGCATTATATTATAAGTAGGTAAGAACTTATTTTTCTACATGATAAAGATACAAAGAAGGTATTGTACGAAGTAACAAATTCAAACAGCGAACTAGGGAACAGCGAATTTTCCGCACAAATTGGAGCCCCGATCTTTTGGACTATTCGCTAACTTTTTAGTGTGTAATTAAAGAGAAATTTTAATATAAATCAGTTCTTGTCGGGTCATGTAACTTAGTGGCATTATAAAAGCAGTAGTGGATCAGTAAATAGCTCAGTGATTATCACTTCCATCACTCAAAATCTGCAAGCGAATAAGGTCTTTAAAAATTCACATACGTTGGCGCCCTTAAAGGAACACCAACGAAAGGATCTCACACCTAGCCTCTAGCAAATTTAGCGGGTGCGAAACGGCAATCCGCGCGGCTTATGAGCGGTTAGGGCATACTATCCGCTAATACCTTCTACGCTAAAAGTGCGGTAACCTTAAAGAGTAAAAGTAACACCACCTTTTGGTAGTGTTTAGCTTCTGTTGTTGTAAGATCCCAGGGCTTCACGAGATAGGCAGAAGCGTCTTTAGCCCATGTAGTGCAGTATGCAATCATTACCCCTGTGCCCTCAAGTAAGCACGCGGTCAAAATGAAATGGTATTGATTAGTAGTGAATGAATGGCGCTCGGCACCCCCCTTTTTTTTACCCGGAGAAATGCCTTACGCATACCCCGCCGCTGGGTAGGCTACGGGGTTATGTGAGACTCCTCCCCCCACCTCCCTCCCACCCACTCAGCCAACCTTAGGGCTGGCTCAGTGGCTGCTCGGGATGGGGGGGTCCTACCCACTAAAACTCCGGGATGTGCTCTCCTTAGGTGGCGGCATGGGATCCTTACTGGAAATCAACCACGCCGCCGCCGGCCGGCCCGGCTTTTAACCAGGCCACCTCATGATCGGGGGGATTCCCAGGCACATGGTGGGAATCCCCCCCCCCAGACTGCGGTGCCGTGGCGCTCGGCACCCCCTGAGACCGTTACACCCGTGTGCAACGCACAACCTGCACCATACCAATACCACAGGTAAAGCCATCTTTCAGGATAGGCATCGTATCGTAAATTGCGTCTAGACTCCGCTTAATAATATAAATAATCACCATTCACATAGCTACGAGTAGGTATGCCTCTGATCAAGATGTTAATTTTGATGGAATGTTTTGCTGGGCTTTAACCTACTTATAAGGAAACCATTTAAACCAAAACAATCAATGCACTAATCATAATAAAGAATAGGTAGTTACTTTAGTATCTAATCCTTATTCATACTTTTGTTCCTGAGTCAACAATTTATTAAACAAGAAATTAAATTATTAAAAATCGTGAAATCTATTAAACTACACGTGATTTTTATCTAATAATGTAAACTTATCTTTAATTAATATGTGTCATCACATCATCTATGAGATAACAAAGATAAATCATTATTGAACAACGAGACGTGTTAGAAATTCAAAATTTTTATCATGGTAACATTCTTTTGTAAAATTCATTATCTGATTGGTAGTAAGTATAAAAAGGAGTTATCCCGACGGACATCAATCATCACTCAACAAGCAACGCAAAGATCACCATGAAAGCATTCAACGCATTGCTGACTATATCAACTGCATTGGCTGTGTCCAACGGCCATGTAGCGATTACGAAAACGCCTAACGAACTGCACCCAGTCCACGAGTTGTACGTCAAACCGTCTGCTGACGGCACCACCGGGGACCTGTATGTGGCAGCAACAGAAGAGAGTGGATCGAAGACTCAGTGGCTGACCGACCAACCTGTGCATTTCTTACCAATGCAGTCCCAGCCGGCCATACCGACTAGTTACGCAGAAGAAAGCTTGAACACAAAGCGAGCGATCGTCAATCCTCAACCTCAACAACAATACCCATACGCATTGCCGGCTACGGGAAGAAGTGAAGCTAATACCGTTCCATCCTATCCGTATGCACTGCCGGTGCCCAGCCCGACTCCAGCAACAGAAACTAAAACTGAAGGGCCCATAACAACTGCAGCAGCCATTCCTCAATACAACCCATACCAGTACTTCTATCCTCAAATTATGGCAGCCTACGCAAACATGTTAAGCGTCCTCAAAGATGCTGGTATGAGCGACGAGTCAGCCGCTTCCGCCTTGACGCAAGGCTCTTCGATGTGGCCCCATTCCTACACGTATCCGGTGCAATATGTGATGGTAGACCCCAGCATGTGGGCGCAAGCTCAAGCCACGACCGCCACCTCCGTTTCTACTACACCGGCTGCAGCCGATAAGGAATAATTATTTAGCACAATTATTTATTTATTTATTTTAGATTAATTAATTTATTTGTTTGATGTGATTTACATAAATGGCGAAAATAAACTTAAAAAAGAAATATTTTAATATATTATGAACCCTTTTTAGATTTTTTATATATTTTTAAGCATAAAACTGCTAAATGTTATAAATCTAAAGAAAACTTTACTACATAAATCCCACTCGTCTAGGTTTTAGACGGGATTCGAACCCGCATCTTACGCTATCCGGGTGGACGCACTTATCATCCTCATCCCCTACCCTGTAAAGCTCCCGACCTTACTCAGCCACGAAAACACCGACACGACATGAGGAAGAAATTTCCCCGAGCGACAGGCGGACTCTCCAATTCGAGTCAAAAAAAAACTTTTTCTATCATGCTTTGCTAGGCTATCAAGTGGACTTTATAATATCTTGATTCTGAAAATCAAAATGATAATGTCCCAAATTACAGAACAAAACCAAACAAACAACCAAAGTAAATATCAGGTTATCGGGGGGCCATTCGCCTAACGGAAATGCTTTAGAAAACGCCAACGCTTTTGATTTTATTTTGTTTTTCGAAGGTTTTCAAATACCTCACGCTCATTTTTTTAATATTATTATTACCAATTCAAAAGAAAAAAAAAAAGAGCGCGAGGCATTTGAAAACCTCAGGCGGCTAGAAATAACAAAATGAAATCGTTAGCGTTTTCCAAAGCATTTCCGTTAGGCAAATGGCCCCCAGGTCAAAAGTAAAGCCTTTTTTGTTTGTGAACAGTTTTTGTTTTTACAGTGATTGAACAAGTCGACACAGTTTTGATAAAAACTTAATATTCACAGGACTTATTTACAACCCGTTGTAGTGTTGAGTCTTTCGCAAGTTGATATTCGCTTTGGACTTAATATTTGCTTTGGTGGCACGCAATCTGCGTACCGTTTGTCCTAAAAACGCTGATTCGTATCACAATGATTCCTTCCGATCGGGGAACAGGCGTGAACGCACGTAAATGCCATGGATTACTACAATCACGTTCACGCATCTTCTCGGAACTTCACGGTACAAGTGTGGAGCCGTGATAGTGTACAGAGCCACTATTGAATCTTTTAAGAATTTGGGAATGGCAGATTTTTTCTTCGAATTAGAACGTCCGTCTGTGGCAGTGATAGAACAACGCAGTTGGCTCGGTCTCCTCCGTCTTACAGAAGATAAAAATGAGATTAGTATAGTGCGATTCAAATAAGAATAGGAAAGCCAATGACCTCCATCTGTAAAATGTCGCTTGAAAAGTACGGTTTGCAAAAAAATCTTGGAACCCTTTTTTACCACTCAGCTAATGCTAAAATAAAAACCAACCATTTGTATACAAACAATAACAAATATTGATAATTAATATTGTTTTTTTTTTATGTATTGTGCTTTGGATATGATGAATTGTTGATAACCTAAATAGTCAACCAAATGTCACTTTCAGTTGCGTTCAGAAACTAGATTTAAAACTTTCGTCTACATAAAGGATCCATGTTCGTATGTGACCTAGTAATAGTACATGATTATTCATAACTACTTCAGCGGTAATGCAGAGATAAGCGGAATTGAAGAGCTAGATTCTGATTAATGATTGTTCTCACACAGTCTTAATAAATAAATATTATTAAAATCGGTTGTTTTCTTTTCTCAATCTTAGTAAATAAATCTTATTTAAAAAATCTGATGTTTTTTCTCACTTATTCTTAGTAAATAAGTTTTATAAAATAAAACCTTTTTTGTGCTCACTCTACCTATTTGGTTTGAACTGACACAATATGGCGCCCAATTGGTCATATTCTTAGTTGAATCGCATTATACTATCTTTTGGTGGTGTTGTGTCTATCGGTGAATGGCTTGCAAGGAAGTTACAATTATTTATATTATATACCTAACGGTATCTATTTGTTAATTGTGAGTTTGTGTACTTGAAAGCAATTTATTACACTGCTCCATTATCCCATACCTACATTCTTTTTAAACTTAAAGGGAATGAAAGTGAGATATTGTTGTCAAGTGTACAAATTGAACTAAGCTGTTTATGTCAAAAATCGTTTGTCTTATATCGAGAAAAATTATAACGATAACAAAGACTAGAGACGCTGGATCTTTTGCATTGAATCGATCTTTTGGATCGTTGCCCAGTGAATCGATTAACGATCTAAATCGAATGGTATTAAATCAATTTCATTCGATAAAAAGATTCGTATCAAAATTTTATAAAAACTGAATAAAGGCGTGCAAATGTACAATTTGCGATAAACCTGTATTTACAAAATTTTGCAGAGGTGCTGGAAACCAAGGCCATGTATCGAAATTCAACGTCAACGTCAAACAAGGAAGCCTTTACTAGCATATGTTTTAAGTTTCATCAATGCTATATTTCTGTGCTTCGGAAGGCACGTTAAGCCGTTGATCCCGGCAGCATCTGCAGTCGTTAGCACCCACCAATCCGCACTGGGCCCGCGTGGTGGGTCATGGCCCAATCTCCCTGTTCCATCCATAGGGAAGGCCTGTGCTCCAGCAGTAGGGACATAAATGGGCTGATGATGATGATGATGATGATAACGGATTTTCTAAAATTTTAGTTTAGTTATATTACCGTCTTTGTTTTAGATACATCGATAGATACTGCCTGTCAATAAAGTCATGCAAAGAATGATTGAGAAACAAATGGTTTTGCTGTTACTGACAACACTAAATTACTGTCTCAGTTGTCACGTTAAGGTTATTTTTATTTTGTTGATGATTTTGTTTTAAAAGTGTTAATTCGAGTTATTTTTTAATTGGACTGTTACGGGATATCAAAGTCATCGGACTATTTATACAAGCGGTGTGAAGCAGGTCATATTTTAAGTTTTTTAGAACTTATAGACCATGTTTTAGGAGAGAAGATCGTTTAACGAATTTGACAACGTTTACAGTCAAATAGCAAAACTAGCCGGTAAGTAAACATTACGAAATAAATGAATTCTTCTCCGGTGACTATCATTATTGTTTCCATCCATAATTGCATCTGATTTGATGCATTGTTTATTTTGTATTGAGGTTATAAAATTCACTAACAACTTTTACAACGCCCTACAGATTTGATACTTTTGTAATATTATTTAAATGTGAACATGGTTTTTATCATCAAACTTTTCTTTGCTTCAGATGTTTCCAAAAAATGGACAGCAGATTTTCAACCATTGCTGGAAAATGCGAGTAATAATTGCCTAAAGAAGCATTTCAGGCAATAATTCCACAAGAATGGAAAATCTGTGAAAATTTTACCTGTAGTGGAAATTTTGTCTGTGCAGATGACGATGATTCCAGTTCCAGTCAATCCTATGAGGCAGGCACCAACTAGCAACTTGATGACGCAGGAATATTCATTTTAATTAGATTATTTGGGCTCTGAATAATAAAGTATATTGATTGTAATAACTACCTTTATTTTATTTCCCACCTTTAGTAAGTGTCCATAAAAAAGGCCTGTCATAAGATGATTGTGTGTCTACTAACCTGACTCTTGAATGTCAAGCATGAAAAATTTTGATATTTTATTATAGTTGTATTTGAAGCTGCTCAATTTGTAAATAGGAAAATATTGAGTAGATGTTTTTTATTCCAGCAAAGTATCAGGCAGGTTCAAAAATAAATCTGAGATGATGATAAGATAAGATAGAAACTCGGATTATAATGAAATGTATGGAGGTTATATAATTGTACAATAGTACTTTTTACTAAATATCAAAGCGTTTTAGTCGATGTATAACGGGTATACCATGTAAGCAACGGTAGCGACCTTTTCTTTCATGACTTTATTGACAGACTATCCATCTGTTTTGTCTTCCACTAAAACAAATGCTAGTGTTATAAATTAATTACATACCTTTCGGTTGAAATTTCAGTATGACCGGTTTTGTTATGTCATCTTATTAGGGTTTTCTTTTTTCATTGTAAAGAAAGAAAGAAAGAAAATATTTATTTGAGACAACATGTGTAAGTAAGGTGTTATGATTTTAGGGGTGCATAACATGTCGTGCCGATGTGGGCATACAATTCATCAAGTTATTTAAATATCAAGTCAAAAATCTTAATATTCAATAATAAAACATTTCAAATTCAAATGATTCCAATTCAATAATAAAATGTAAAAATTAATCAAAAAATAGAAATAATAATAATAAAACATAATTACAATTAAAAATTTGTCATTTAAAAATTCCGATACATCATAATAACATTTATCTAATAATATATTTTTAATTTTCTTCTTATATAAATTAGAATTTAAATCTTTTATATATGTCGGGTGTTTATTATACATTCGAGGGGCCACACATAATATGTTTTTTCCCGATACGATTCGATCTTAGAAATAATCGTTCCTATTGAATAGTATTAAAAAATCTTTGATAGCATTGCCATGAATCGATCTTTTAAAATATAGATTAAGATCGGGCATCCCTAAAGAAGACAAAAAAATTAAAAATAACAAAGTCTTCCTTCCTTTTTCATTTCCGAGTTGTCAAAGTGTTGACCATGTGATAAATAATATCTTTTCCAAATAAAATATCTCGTAATTTAAAGAGATTTTCGTATTAAAAGTAAAGGAAACAATCTTTCATCATGGTCTCTAAAAAGAAAAAGAAGGTTTGTACACTATCATTATTTTATTATCACGTGTATTTTTATAACTCTGCTAACCTTTGTCTGTTTTTAATTAACAGTATTCTTCTGGAGAGGGTGCACAATTTATGACGAGAAAGGCTGCACTGAAAAAGTTACAATTGTCTCTAAAAGATTTCAGACGGATATGTATCTTGAAAGGAATATATCCCAGAGAACCTCGGAATCGTAAGAGAGCACAGAAGGGTGCTGGTGGAATAAAAACTCTTTATCATACAAAAGACATAAAATTCTTACTTCATGAACCAATTTTATGGAAACTCCGGGAGTTAAAAGTAAGTCATAACAAAATATTTCGTGAACTTTTTATTTCATGATAATTTTAACCCTAACTGTTACTCTTTGCAATCTATTTTAAAGCAAATGCCAATGTGATCTAAGTTAATCCCTTTCTTAAACATGAAATAGATCACAGAAGGAGTTAAGGTTCCACAACCAGGCTTGTTGTACTATGTATCCATGGGTTATTGGTAATATCTAAAAACAAACTTTCAGGTCTATCAACAAAAAATTCGTAAGGCACGTGCTATGAAAGAATATCCCCGGATGAGGAAATACTTGAGAGACTACCCAAGTATAAACATTGATCACATAGTCAAGGAACGCTATCCAACATTTGTAGATGCCTTGCGAGACCTGGATGACTGTCTTACATTATGTTTCTTGTTCAGTACTTTTCCTTCACTAAAAAGAGTTCCAAGAGACCAGTCTTTACTCTGTAGAAGACTTACAGTTGAATTTATGCATGCTATTATAGCAGCCAAAGCACTTCGCAAAGTTTTTATATCTGTAAAAGGATACTATTATCAAGCTGAACTAGAAGGCCAGACTATTACATGGATAGTGCCCCACCATTTTTCATTCCAGGTATTTGGTAGTTTTGCCTTTGTTGATTTATAAATTACTACTATTGATATATTATAGCTATTGATTACTAATTTTTTATGATAAAATGATTAGGTACTCATTCATTTACTTTCCTTTAACATATTTTCAGCCACAAAGCAAGGATGAAGTTGATTTCAAGATTATGTCTACATTTGTTGAATTTTACACAATGATGCTTGGATTTGTAAATTTCAAACTGTATCATTCTCTAAATTTAGTTTATCCACCAAAACTCACTGCAGCATTTTCTGACACTGATAAAGAACTTGTTGATGAGCAAGCTTATGTAGCTGAAAGGATAGCTGCTATGAATATACCTGTCATAAAATTAACAGGGGCTAATGAAACAGAGGAATTGCCAGAAATGGATATTTTCCAAACTGAAGGTGAGGACACACAAAAGTTAGAGGAAGCTAAGCAAGAAGCAGAAAAGGTGAAAAAATTGAAAACCATGTTCAATGGTTTAAAATTCTACATCAACAGGGAAGTCCCTAGGGAGCCTTTGGTGTTCATTATTCGAAGTTTTGGTGGTGAAGTATCTTGGGACAAAGATTTGTTTGTTGGAGCCACATTTGATGAGTCAGATGAATCAATTGCGTATCAGATTGTAGACAGGCCGAGTATGGATAAACAATATCTTTCCCGTTATTATGTCCAACCACAATGGGTATTTGATAGTGTAAATGCTAGAACATTGTTGCCCATTAATAAATACCTAATGGGTGCAGTATTACCACCTCATCTGTCACCATTTGTTGACAAAACAAGGGATCAAGTTTATAAACCACCTGAGGAAAGAGAACTTTTGGATCCAAATTTCAAACCATTAAGTAAGTATTACATTATCACAATTTTTTTTTTTTTTTTCAACTTTTAATCTTATATATAAAATTCTCGTGTTAGAATGTTAGTTACCATACTCCTCTGAAACGGCTTGACAATTTCAATTAAAGTTTATATGCATATTCAGTAGTTCTGACAATTGGCTACTATCTTTTTTCATATCCCTAAGTGATAAGGGACACTCTTAACATTTTAGAAGTGAAAACTTCTTTAGCAGCGTTGTACACTTTTTTTGTAATGGATAAAAATGTTAAACTCGCGTCAGGACACGTAACCTGATCGAAAATTCGTAAGACGAACACTTCTTTGGTGGCATTGTACACTTTTTTTGTAATGGGTCAAAAATGTTAAACTCGCGTCAGGACTCAGGACAAGTGACCTGATCGAAAATTCGTAAGACGGATGGAGAGTAGATAGCCGGCGCGGCGTAGGAGAGGAAGTATCCCCCCTCTTTCTACGGCGCGGCGAAAATGTATGGTGACAGCCGATGGCTCGACCGTCTGTGTATTCGTCAATTCGTGTATATAGTGTTAAAAAATGCACAACATTACTATAAGTTTACACTTCTGCCGGCACTACCGGAGTGCAACCCGTCGTTTTTTTTTTAATTTGGCATTATAAAATACATACAAACCTTAATTTTCACCCTTCTTCCACCAGCCCTTAATTTTCATGGCCGTACGAAGTTCGCTGGGTCAGCAAGTGTTTACATAATTGTGTTACTGAGGGACAAAATTTGTCCTTGCAAATTAACATATCCAATAACAAGCACTAGAGTGAAGAAGTATCTTTCGTATTTTATATCTACTTATCATATTGGGCAGTTTTATTTAATTTAGCATCACTTCCTTTTTACAAAAAAGCAGTCATATTTAATACTAATAATGCTTGACCAACCACAGTTATTCCGTTATATGAGATGCCCCACTACATAGTAAATTTTATGTTACTCCTATGCTACTCTTATTAGACGAAGAAGAATCTGGCAGTGACATAGAGGAAGCCAGTGATGAAGATAAAGAAGAAGATTCTGAACCGGAGGACCCTGAACAAGCTCTTACTAAGCAGTATCAACAAGAGCTGCAGGAAGAATCCACTTCTGAAGATGAAGATGGAGAAGGTGGTGACATGGATCCAGAAAAGAAGAAATTAAAGAAAGAAAAGGTATTTATTACATTGTGTTGTTATCATAAAAAAATGTAAGAGATGGTGCAGTATTGCCTGTGAATACCCAATTCAATTCATGTGAAAACACAAAGAAATAGAAGTATCACCACACCACCTACCAGAAGATCACATAAAAATAACATTATGGTGGTGTTGCATTTCTCTTGGTAAGTTTCCAAAGCTAGGAGCACAGGGATTGGATTGGTCACAAGGTGAGTATGGATCTAGAGTTCTAGATGGATTGCGACAAAAACATTAAAACCAAATGGTTTTGGTTCTTTAGTTATTGGTTCAAATAGATACACCACCAGCTTCACTTTCATGGCTTCTGCTTTAACTTGAGTAGATTAAATAAAATTTTTGGGATATAGTTATTATTTGCCTAATAAACATAAAACTTTACAAAATAATATGATCCCAAAAAAATGACCACGTAGTAGTAAGTGCCTCTCCACATTGACATAACGTGCAAACCAGACGCAGTTTTTGACAGCTCCGTAAAATATCGTAGTCGTCAAGTTTAGTATGAAATATTTGGCTCGAAACCAGCCATACCATCATTCAATATATGTGTTATTATTGCTTTAGGACAGTTTTCGGCAACGATTTTATTTGTGTGGTGGTATCTAGAAGGCGACGTTCGACGACTAGACTCTACACTTAACCATAGTAACTTAACGTCAGGTTGGGTGACGTAATTACCTGCATCTTGTATAGTAAATAAAATATTTTATAATCTATTTGCTATCTTATTTACGGCCACTTGCACCAAAGTCGTTAATAAAACCTAATCACGTTTCGTTTAAGTCTCATGCCATCACTATTATTTGACTTAAAACAATTAATAAAACTCTAATGATGTACTAAACATGTTTAATCCTTAATTTGAATTAAGAACTTTGGTACACGTGGGCCTTTAAGATTAAGATATAAAATGCACTTTTTTTGTAATCAAATACTTTTTATTTATTGCAGAAAAAAGCTATGGCAGTCACTACAGGTGTACCACACAAGGAACATCCTTATCAAAAGGAAATTGAGGATAAACAAGCATTTAGATTACGAGAAAAGCTTGTTAGAAAGAAGCACCGAAACCTTTACAAGAGCATGAAAGCAGGACAGGAAAAGAGAAAGAAAGAAATATGGCTTCTACGCAAAAAGAGGCGTCTACACGACGAGAAAGCTAAACAAGAAAAAAAGGCAGAAAAGCGAAAACAAAAATTGCAGGCTATTGAAGCTGCTTCTGTTTAGATGTGAATAAAATATAATCACCTGATAACATTGTTTTATTAGTGTATTTTTTTTGAAATATTCTATGTACAACAAGAAAATATACAATTAGTATAAATATGGACAAAACAAAAAGTTTGTATAAATTCTGGCTAGAAATGGGGCAACACACAAGGGCGGATCCAGCTTTGGCGCCAGAGGGGGGTCATAGAGTCGTGGTATATTAAATATTGAAAGTACTTAAATGAAATCCCCCTGGGTTTGGTCCATCTGTCTGTCTGTCCCATGGGTCATGACCCCCCCCCCCCCCCCCCTCGGCAACACAGCTGTAAAGTGTGTTCCTATGTAGCAACATGAACAATTTTATCTAATATATTTTCATTTTTTTTTTATTTGCGATTGTGTAGCATAATGCAATCACCATAACAGTACAATCAAATCAAGTCCACAGATCTAGTACAAAAAGGAGCATTCGTATGGTGGCACTTCAAACGGTTATCCGTATTTTTTGTCTATTTCTGATAGACAAAATATAGCAATAGGCTATTTGTCAGCATGATAAATAAAGTAACAATTGTTGGCATCTGTATTTAATATGAATATTGGCAGCTATTTCACTAGTCTGAGAACAAATAATTAATAACTTTCCTAAAATATCATGAAATAGAAATGATTTTATTGTTCAATGGTCACGTGACAGAAAACGCCTGGGATTGGCGGACACTAAAATGTCGACAAACGCTAGTAAACTCACGGTCAAAGTGACATTTTTGTAGCGTTTGATGTTTTAACGACGTTTTCGCGGCAACTTTAAAAAGAAATTTTTAATTTATTCTTTTTTATTGAAATACACCAACAGAATGATGAATATATCCACTTTTTATGGACTCCATAAACATTAGTAAATAAAGTGAGATCGTTTCCTAAAACTTTTCAAATACTCTAGTTGAGAAAATCAAACATGCATTACTGCTTAAAAGCAATAGAGCCAAATAGACAAACGCGCAACTATATAATGAATGGTTCATACACAATTTTGTGCATCTCAAAAATTTGTTTTTTTTTTTTTCAGTGTTTCGGTCGACAATATTTAATACCCTAAATACAACAATACGTACAAAATCGTGGAAGCTGTCCAAAAGGTAAATTGGACGATCCGCGGAGCTCCGTAAGATGATCCCGTCATCAAAAACAATATAAAGGCATTTTTGAAACATTCAAAGTCATCGTTAATGCGTAGTATATAAGGTCTTAATAGAAACGCATGCGTCAAAGTTCGACAATCGAGCTCGAAAAATTTTACGATTTGTTGCTATAGAAGGAAGAATTTATAGACTTTATTTCTTTAACTGTACGCGTAATTCCGAATGAGCTGTTAGCAATAGCTGATACAGGGCGCGAGGAAAAGAGACGGTTATATAACCGACCATGCATTTGAATATCACAAATATTTTCTATAAGTAGTTTATGATAAGTATTAGAACAAAATTAACTTCAAATGCTTTAATTAACGAACATTGATTATATACCTGTCGAAAAAACGACACTACGTACTACAAGTATTTTTATTCGCATTTTTTTACGGAGTTCTGCGGCATCTTGACTTTTCAACGGTCTTAAGTGGTGTTCAAGCACTTCTTGATTTTGACACATTTTGAGGTTTATCTAGGGTTTTCAATATCGTTGTTTTGGGTTTACTCTCTCCAGTTATAAGGCGCCCTAATGTTAACTAGTATTGTATGTTTCGTGTCTTATATGTGTGAGATGTATGTGTGAGTTGGGCATTTTTTTACGAATAAATTAACACAATTACGCCCACAGCGAATAACCAGCAGTATGTGCTACCATACTAACATCACATGCCAACAACGCCACTTTCGTTTGCCGTGTCAATATTTATTACCATATTGTACTAACTTTGTACCATGGTTGCAAAATAACATGCACTTTGTTCCCCAGCGCCCTTATTAATAAACAAGGAATAAGCTTAGACTAGTTACGCCGTGTTTTGTTCATATCACTCAAATGCCATTGGTCATTCAATAAACAGAGACAAAAAAAGGAGTAACTAATCCAAGCGAAGTCTTCGTTTATTAATAAGGGGTAGAGGTTTTGGAGATATTGGGGTAAATTAGTAATGGGACTAACGAGGTAGGTGGCGCTGCTGCGCTGAATTTAGACCACTCATAAATCTACCCCCATATCTTCCAGCCATCTTGTTAATAAATGAGGAATAAGCTTAGAATACTAACAGCGTGTTTTGTTCATATGTCCCCAAGTGCCATTTGTAATTCAATGATCAAAGATAAAACTTAGAGTAACTAATCTAAGCTTATTCTACGTTTATGAATTGAATTGGGGTACAAAGTGCAAGTTAGTTTTTACCCATGATACAAAGTAAGTATGTGCAATATAAAAAGCTACGTTAACGTAGCGTAATCGTTGTTAGTGGCGCTGCTGAACTAGCAATTTTTAAATAATTAGTTGTCATCTGAATCACTGTCGCCCTCAGCATCACTGTCTTCTAATTCTGGCATAGGAAAACGAAGAACGGCCGCAATCCCCGTCAATTGGTCTAGCTCTGAAAAATAAGAGAAAATTATTTTGTCAGTGCATATACACAATTACATATACACTAATGACCACACACGTTTCTCTGGACATTATGGCTATATGTCTCCCTGGTATGTGACATCACACGACTGTTATTAAAATTAAATAAATAAACATTTGCCACACTCACACCAATTATCCTAACCCCAAAGTAACCACTGATAACAGATAGAATACGTATACTGATACATATTTTATCCCGAAATATATATAAACATCCAAGACTAAGCTATAAATGCTCGTAATTATCATACTAACATTTAACCGGGATTTGAACCCGGGCCCTCTGAGTGGCGACACCTGGAAACCCGGAGTATATACCATTCGGCCACAGAGAACGTCATTAAAACGTCAAACAAAACAATGTAATGTCACTTTGATCAAAAGTTTACTAGCGTGTGACGTCATTTTACTCTTCGCCAATTCCAAACATTTTCGGTCACGTAACCATAGAACAAAAAATCATTTCTATTTAATAATTTTTAAAAGAAGTTATTAATTATTTGTTCTCTCAGAATAGTAAAATCGCTGCTAAAATTCAAATTAAATGCAGATGCCAACAATTGCTACTCTATTTTCAATACTGTCAAATAGCCTAGGAGCTTGGTATGCAGTGGTTTAGCGGGCTCAGTCTGCAATATTGAAAGTAAAGCAATTTTTGCACCGCAATGATCGGTATAGAATAGGTGCCCATGTTGTGAAAATTTACTATCCAGAGCTCCTCCATGCTTCGGAAGATACGTTAAATCGTTGATCCTGGCTGCATCTGCAGTCATTATGCTTCTAGGCCCATCATGTGTCATGGCTAATCTTCCTATTCCATACATGGGGAATGCCTGTGCCCCAGCAGTGGATATTTTTTTAGAATATTACTCAAATCACATGTTGTCTTTCACAAATAATAATAGATATAGCAAAGAATGTGACAACATCAACCTAAATCAAACTTAAATGTTAAATGACCACTCTAGAGTGTCTCGCCAGTATGGTATAATTGTAAATATGTGCCCACACTGCCACACCCCGCAACTCATTTAGTGAATAAATGACTTAAGCTAAACTATGGGATAACATAATCTACCCAACAGATTTGTGAATTTTAATAGTCTTTAACTTTAACAAAGAGTCACTGAATGGATTCTGTTACTCACGTTCGCCTGACACATGCATACTGGAAAAAATTCTAACATCTCCACCATTCTCTCTTACAGAATCTACCAATGCCACATATTCTTTTCTCTGTTGAACATCTTGACACCTGCAAATGTAATTAAAATATTACAAAAATATGACTTCAAAAGTTTTCAAGTTTGCAAACTCTTGGTAGTTGTTCTGGGAAAATATTCACAATATAATATCATCAATATAGAATCGATAATTTTATTAGAGAAACAAAGGAGATACTTTATTGACAGACATCTTTAGTATATATATTTATCAGTATAGTATCTGCACTATTCACTGAACTCTTTTTAAGGCTGGTGACAAATGTAGATATAGGCCTAAAATTGCAGGGATCTGCCCTGCAATTTTAGGCCTATATCTACAATTAAGCAAAGTAAGTAGTAAACTAAATAAAGTATTTGACAATATTTACAACCAATAACTAACAAACTTTTCATATCTATGCTATTACATTTAAAACAATTTGATTTTCACTAGAATCACAGGACAACCAATGCTGGAACTGCACTTCTTAAATTCTCAAACACACGCTGTTCTTGGCATTTTTTGTGACTTATCAAAGGCGTTTGACTGCGTTAGGCATGAAAGATTGTTAAATAAAATAAGTCATCATGGAGTATCAAACATTTCACTAAGTCTAACACAGTCTTATCTTTCTGATAGAATTCGGAAATTAGTTATTAATGAAGCCAAGTCTACAGGAGCACCCATTTCTATGGGCGTGCCCCAAGGTTCAATATTAGGCCAATTGCTTTTCCTTATTTATATCAGTGAATGACTTTCCTCACTTTACCATAGATTTGTGTAAGATGACACCTCTTTAGTATTAGTAAAAGTCGAGTTGATATTTTCTTGGCAGTGTGAGCGAATTATTTGATAATGGACAATATGGACATTATGTAGAATTGTCCTGCGGAAATTATATTTATTTGTATGCCAATATGGCTGATCACGGCTGCACAATTTAGCACCCATGTAACTTTAAGCCCATGTAACAAAATTAAGTACTTGATTGATTAATTGAAGATTCGCGAACTGATGGCATAGCTTATCGACCTCCACAAGTGCTTGTAATAGACTAGACTGAATAAATTATTTTGATTCTGTGTTCGGCAGGAACATTTTGTAGATCGGCAAATCACCGGTGAATTTCACCGGTACGCAAAATTCCGCTCCGGTGCAAACCACTGATTGATAGTCCTATCTATTGTTGAAACACTTATTACCAAAGAACAGAGATTACAAACAACTACTTTTGAATTACACTCTGGCTCCAAATTTTTGTACAATTTGAATCAGTTCAAATTTCCGCATAATGCACATTACTAGCAATTAACCACTTTACCTGTAGTTCTAATCAGTGACCTTGATTGAAATACTTTCAAAACCAATAGTTCATTTGAATTGAGAAATGAAACTACTATTTATTTTTGTAATGTAAACTTACCTAAATAATTTATCAGATATCATAAGAATTTCAATAGCCATCGCTTCATTTGCTCTTTCCACATGTTTTTTGCCATAGAAAGCCTTAGCAGGCTCAAGCTGCAACATGGTGTAAAAACTCTCTAAAAGTTTCACTTCGCTTGCCGCCTTTGTGTCTGATATTTTTGAAATAACACTTGGCTCCTGAAGAACCTCTAAAAGTGTCAAAACGAAGCCAGTAAAACAAGCTATACTTAGATTAAAACAAAAAGGGAAGATCCAGTATGCTCATACTAGCATCAAATAAAATATGATCCGACCCAACTACATAAGCAACTCTCACACACACATCTGTAATTATCATTCAACACAGAGACAGTGAAATGGCGATCCGCTTCCGAGTGCGAACGGCTGAGCTGTATTGTTGTCCTTTTCTTGATAACAAAATGGCAATTACGTACATAACATTCACGACAAACCCTGATTTTCGAGGATTTTTTGTTTTACAGTTATACAAATGAGAAGTGATGCCAGCCCATTTGTTACTTGTTTTTGAGGAAAAAATTTTTTTACAGTTTTACGAATGAGAAGTGTTGCCCAGGCATTTGTTACTTGATTTTGAACTATTTGTGTTCTTTACAAAAGCATTGAGGCATTGTTTTCTCTTTATAACACAGAATATACACAATATTGTTATATTGAGTTCACATGCAGCATGTTTGAATGTCTAATTGTGACTACAGCAATTTGTGACTGTGCACCACAATTTCAGCAGATCACTTTTGATCAGCGAGTGCTGTATCATATCTTTTTGTTTTAATCTAAGAAGCTATATAAACATTTTTACAAATAATTTCCAATCTATATAAATACCTTTCAAAGAATGCTTGAAGCCTGATGAAGCTTTCACCAGTAGGAATTTACTTTTATTATCAATTAGTAACTTGTTGTCAGTTTTGACTGCCTGTTGCATCATGTATTCAAAAAACTGATCCTTCACAAAACCTGGTGATGCTATGATCACACATTTTACAACTGTGAACTCAATATGCCTAAGAATTCCTTGCATGACAGCATCATAAAATTTGTTTAAGCCCTGAAATATATTAAGTAGTAATATGATTATTAAAAATAAATAAAAGTACAACAAATTAGTTACTTTCTTAACTAGACTAAGTAAAGAGACTGTTTTGCTGTAAATCTCTCCCAATAGTATTTAATAATAATAATTATGGCAATTTGAAATAAAAACTGTGCTATATAAATAAATAAACACCTTTTCATGTTGTTGAGCAAAACCTTTACGTTTTCTTGGTATAGTCATATCAATCTTAGATCGCACCAATGTCATAGAAGGGGTTATGAGGCATACATGAGCTAACCCTTCTTGCATGACCACAGCAGCAACATCTGCACTCTGTGCTGGGTCACAAGCCATATCCACCCTCTCTAGAGCCACCGAATCCCATATTGTTTTTTGCAGTACAAATTTCCTATTTAATTCCAGATCTAATGTGTGATATGCACCCATCTAAAAAACATTATAGCCAGAAAAAAAAAGGAAACAAATGATTAGTTTTATTTAAACTCGCATTGAATATACGTATAAAGTCAACTTATTAAGAAATAATGAATAAACATATAAGGCATTGTAAAGTTAGTGAGTTTGTGACTTTGTTAAGTTATAGGGGATAACCTCTAAATCTACTGAACCAATTTTAAAGATTCTTTTACCAATAAAAACTTTATTAAGTTTATTTTAAGAAATGTTATTAGTGAGTTGTATATTCTATAAATATTAACCATAAATACTAACCAACAACACTTTTTGGTGGTAGTCAGATATGCAGTCAAAGACAAAATTGTCAAATTAAAACATTTCATAAAAATGCTGCCTTAAGAATGAAAGATATATGATTGAGTCCTAAAGAAATGTTGTAGAGTTTGATAATGCCTACAAAAAAGTCAGCAACACCATCTGTCTCGCTTTTATATTTAGTTATTTATATATTTTTTTTTCTATGAATCTACAAGGTTCCTATCTTTCGATCTTTCTGCTATAAAATTACAGTCAGACAACTTGATGTCCGCTAATCTACATTTAAGCCTCGTAATCTATTGAGTAGTATTTCTATTAATATTTTTTCTCATCTACACTGAAGCGAAGCAAGGTATGTGTAATTAGTAATAGTATATATAAGTAAACTAGTCATGAATAATTGTAATAATAAAGCTTATTTCAACTATTATTTGTCCCAAGTAGAATTTGTTACCAATTAGAAGTTGCACACTGTTATTCTTTCAACTGATCAACAAGTTGTTGATTAGATAGGTATAACGATCAACATGTTAGGTACATGTACATAAACAACATAAAGCTTCAGATTACATACCTTGACATATTGATTTTCTACAATATTTCGACCTTTTAGTCTTAATACACATGCTTGAGTGTCAAAATCTATATTTTCTACTCTGATGGTAAGTGTAGTTCTGACTCTGCTGCTGGTGGAAGATCCAGTAGAAGACTCTGTCTGTACTTTACGCACTGTAGATGCAGTAACAGCATCACCCTCAGCAATGAGGTTGTATGCGTGCCACATGTCCTCGGACTCTTCAGGTATGAGACTGATATTTCTAAAATACAAAGATTTATTAGATATGTGTTTCGAAGTTATTAGACAACAACTTATTATGAAATTCTCACCCGGAACCATCCTTCTCGATATTTTTGTACACCAACTTCATTTTAGATTCAGCTAAAAGTTAAAACATTGTTAATTAATATCTATTTAGGGTCATAATTAATAAATTCATAACAATAACAGCGAAAGAACGATAAACATTGACAGGACAGCCAGTACCTAGAATAATAGATAAGTTAATAGACTTGTGTAGCTCGCGAGCGAAAGATAAAAAAGATATATTACTTACCCGAAGAGCTAATTTATCTTCATATCACTTGTGTAACAATGATATCTTTATATCCGAATGATAGATTCATTTTGAGGATAGACAATTTCGTTACGATTGTTTTGTGTTATCCTGAGCCGAATGATACAGAGAGAGAGATAATTATATTGCATTTAATTATCAACGAAAGAAATAGGTAAATAAGAGCAATGTCGTTACGATCGTAAAGTGAATTATACGTACTTATTCTTGAAGTGTACTTGAGTGAAACTGTATTTTACGTTCATCCATTTTTTAAACAAATATAGTGCAATTTTGGTTGCGCGGAACTTGAATCGAAAAATAGAATACTCGGTACTGAGCTAGTGTATATATCTTTAGTTCAGAAGATATATTGCTCTCTTTTCTATTCAGTGATATATTTTGCGAAAGTCAAATAGGCTAGCCTAGCTTATTTTCCAGCAAACGTCATTGAAGTAGACTTTGGTAGTTCACAAAAGAAAGATAAGAATGAACTAGTACATTGAGAAAGATGAAGTGTATCTCTAGTTCACTCTCTTCCATAATGTATAAAAGTATTTAAATTTAATTCATCTCATTTTCCTTAGTTCTTGTTAGTTCAATCGTTCATTTACCTGCAGGCAGCAAAAGGCTGCTCTTGAGTACCTAAACAATAGGGCACTTTTTTGCAAAAATTAACTTTTAAATTATATTTAATAACTAACTGCAAGTGTAATTGTATATTAGCTAACTGTTACACGATATATAACGAGCTAGATAAAATATTGAACTAGATGAAAATATTGAACAAAATGAACTATAGTCGGGGCACGCTACAATGGCCGTTTTAAAACCTTACAATTTCTTTTCCTTACATTTCAAATTTCATAACATACAAAAATCCGAGTTATATGGTGAATAAGTATACTATGGTGTCGATTCTGGCACGATTCTCTAAATCTAAACTTAAATTTGAGAATAGTGGTGTCAATTCTGACGTGATTCTCTAAACTTAAAACTAAAATTAAGGTCAGTGTCACCTTTTCATTCTGTATAGAGAAGAATAAGGATGCACTGTTGTCAAATTTAAGTTTAGCTTTAAAGAATCATACCAGAATCGACATCATTGTATCCTTGTCATTCTCTATACAGCTTGAAAAGGAGAGACTGATGTTAAATTAAGTTTTAAGTTTAGAGAATCATGCTAGAATCGATACCTATATGTTATTATAATATTATTTGTAGAACATAACAGTTCTTAATGATAATAAATAAATAAATAATTTTTTATAATCAATCCTTCTAAGATTCTATCAAATGGTCGGTGTCTTTATATGTTAACAGTAGTGCTGATTCTGCCATGATTCTCTAAACTTAAAACTAAATTTAAGTTTTAAACATAATATATACTTAGACCATAACATAAAATAGTTTTGTAAAATTTAAAAATTATACACCCTCAAATCAAAGATTTGATTAATTTTATGGCGTGTTTCTAACGACAATGATGATCAATAATTAATTCTTTTCAAATTCAGAAATAATTTCGAATATGAAACGTCATACAACGCGCACAAACGTTAAAACGGCTATCATATTAGAGTAAACTATATGAAAGAATGAGTTCATTGTACCAAAAAGATTCGTATCTTTCTTACCATCACAGTGAACTTTAACTCACATGGGTAATCTTAGCACGTCATTCATACGTCACCGTCAAATATCTGTCAAATACCGTTTTCGTGGCAATTTTTAACCAATCATCGTTATATATTTATCTAACTACCAATTGAAATGCCTTATCTATCACGCATTCTCCTAGACCTTGTTTCATTGGTCAGATTTTTGTTGCATTATCATAAATGTCAAGCCAGCGTTTTATTAACTCAACAAACGGCAACAAATATTTATAAAATTTCTCATCGAGAAAATAAAAATTACAGAAAATCACAATGAATTTCATTAAATTATCAAAATTTAACTTCTTTTTGACCTTGATTTTCTTAGAAATTTGATTACTAATTTAAGGACAAAACAGAAACTATAACACCACAAAATTAGATTGACTGAAACCAAACGCGCATTTTGATGTTTTGAACGATAGGTTGTTGGAATGGAAGAAATAGTGGAATCGAAAGAGGATGAGATCGCATCATTGTGAATTATTTTACGTGACGTGCTTGAATCTCTGCTGAACTTTATGCTAATGCAGGATTTTAAATGTAAATAATAGTAAGCTCGTGATTTAAAATATCGAACAATGTGTTAGTGAGTGCAGTGGTAGTGATAACATTGTCAAGCTCAGCTGGTCGTGACGAGCGGTAAAATCTCGCAAGTTTTTCTCTTAAAAGAAAGCACTTTTGTGCTCCGTTTCCTCAAGGTATGCCGTTATATATTTGCCATATATTTTACATCATATAGCAGTTCTTCATTTTCATTAATTATTATGTAAAGCCTTTGTATTTTTTCCTTAATACTTATACCGACTTTATCGTGTCGTTTTACGTAAAAATATGTAGGGAAAGCCTACTAATTACTTAAGCATATTTACGATTGAAGGAAAATAATTTTTACTATTTACTATTCGTAACATTGGCCATGATCCAGTTATGACTCGGTATTGCGCGGGAACATAGCGTGTGATATTTTTAGTTTATTATCCGCACGTTATTATACGAGATGCGTATTTAAGAGTGTTTCGGTTTCGAAATGTTTTGAAAATTATTATCCAAGATTTTATTTTGTCATTAAATTTCAGTGTCTAATACAATGGAATTTAATTTAAACTAAGAATAATTTAAAACCAAAGTGTTCATAAAAAGTGATAAAATGAGCGAAAAACAAGAAGCCGACGTCGTCACACCGTCAGAAGCGCCTGCAGTATCGTCGGCGTCATCAGAGTCTCTGGCATCAGTCACAACTACCTCTATGAGACCTGAAGCTGCAAGACCATCTTCCTTGCCGAAACCGTCCGGCCTTAAGCCTCCAAGTAAAATTGGCAGACTGTGTGCAAACAGTTCACCAAAACCAGCTGTGCCCATCTCTCCGAGAACTGGTAAGTCAATGTTTGTACCTTATATTTCACACACAAAATAATACTATTATTGTTAGTTATCTGTTTACAAACAAAACATACAAAGAAAATTCAAATTGTTACATGTTATTTAGGGTTTATGTATATTATTTAGAAACAGTACTTTAATAAATATAATACAGATAGAGCTTAGAGTACCAAACTGCAATTGACATTGGTGATATTATTAAGCTTTGCATATTTTTTATTCAGCCATATTAAACATCTACCATTTATTGGGATCAATTAAGGAATCATATTTGAGCATAGCAGATTTTGGATAATATCTAGCACCAATTACTTAATAAATGGTTCGACTTTTGTATGTCATTGGTCAACAATTATCTTCAATAAAGTTTAAGCCAACACAAGGCCATAGGGGCACAGCTAATTCTTGATCAATCTTAGGTCATTGCTGATGGCAGCTTTAATTTAGTAACATCTTGTGGACTGTGACTTTATCAATTTTTTTCTATATATTGGAAGTTGAACATTGTTCTTAGCTTGATCTAAAACTTCCATCCTAAAAAAACTCTTTATTCTTTTTTTTATTTTTTATTTGAAGCAATAATGTTTATTACAAACTTTGGTTTTAAAATATTACAAATCAATTGACATCAATCAGTAATTAGGTAAATAGAAGAATCCAATTTTCTTAACAGTCAATGTATGCAGTCTTTCAATTGAATGATATCATTGAGTTGTCTGAAAATACTTTTGCATTAAAGAAATACATGCCCTAGTTTCCAAAGCGCATCACATACAATACACAAGTATAGCCACATTGCACACTGAATGAGAACTTATTGTTAAACATTGAGCAGTTTTATGCTTTGAAAGGAATTACCAACACCTTTTACAATATATCATTCACTACATATTTGTTTAAAAAAAAGATATATACTTCTTAATACTCTCCATTTTTAAAAGAAAAAACAGGATTGATATTAAAATTTATTATTAAAATCTGTATGCTTCTTACCGTGAACATGAAGCAATTTCTGTTTAAAACAGTAAGATAAAAAACATGAACAGCAAACTACTCTGTCTATATACACGTAAATGTCTTGGAGTTGGTAAGCAGTTTGATTTAAGTTAAAAAAATATCAGATGTAAATATCATCCAAATGTAACATACAAACAGCATATATATTATTATCAAACCATTGTTATTATTATTTAGATTTTTAAGGCTATGCAATCCTAATGGGACTGTAGTCATTGCAACCTATATGATCTATTGTGTTGCCACCAAGTTAAAGTATCTCTTTGAGCCTGACAGCTTCCAAGAAGCTCAAAATGTTTCTAGCTTTAAGAAATTTAATTTCCTCTTGGCGTATTATATATGTCGTCCCAAATGAATACTACGTTTGTGGATGAGAGGCCCACATTCACATAGAACGTAAAGTAGTATTTCATGCTCCTGATTGCAGTATCTGCAAACATCAGTGTCACTTAATTTCATATGAAATTGGTGTTTGTTGTGTTTGTCCAGTTAAGGCTCTTACGATAGCACGGATGTTCGGCCTGCTAAGTTCTATTAACTCAATAGTCCGGTTTTTCGAGTAACTTGGTTTAACCAGTATTTTTTCGATTCGCTTAGAAGGTCGTCCTTAGGAATATCAAATCTTAAAAATACCCCTTGCACGTAAAACATCTGTCAATAGTAATACTGAAATAAAAGCTGTGCCTTATTATAAATCTCATTCAAAGCCGACCGCGCCCTCATCACGCTACGTTACGCCACGAGGGCTCACATTAGTTGCAATTTTATATGAAAAATATAAAGAAAAACCTACAAAATCTCATCATTGACAAGAATTTTATCAGCAACGACATTAATAATGAAATGTTTTTCCTGCATCTTGGAACATTAGGTCATCGTTGCTTAATATATCGATGAGCTGCAAGAGCGCGTGTGATCTCTTAAACTATCGACTCAGTGCGTCGTTTTCAATATAATTATCAGCCGCACTCAAGTGCCATCTATTAACTTTTAAGCTTAATTCAATAATATTGATTAAAATTATTCTGCCATAAAAAGTAAATCTTAATGAAACTAACTAATGAATGAAAGTTATCACATAATCACCGATCGTTATATTATTGCAGTTTAATTGATTATCTACCGCTATTTGCTAAATATTTTCGATGTTTTCTTTGAATTCTCTAGTCACCTGAACCAAATACGAAAGTGAGAGCTAGCACTTAGTTCTTTTGTTTCCTTTCGCCATGGTAGCGACCGACAACTTTGAATTTCTCTTAAAGCCATTCAATGTAGCGAAGATGGTCAATTTACACCGCGCACCTGCGTCTTGTTAAAACCGTCTTAATGGTCGAATCTGTAACCATGTAATGCTAAGCGGTTAAATCGCTATAATCGGCGGAATGTAAATCTCAAATTCGATCGCGCTTGCAGAAAACCCTTGTTTAGAGTTTCTTGCCCACCCACAGGGTGACAAAGTAACCCTATTACTAAATTTCTGCGGGCTGTAGTTTATGCAATGGCGTAGCATCTTTTATGATGCTACTGGGAAACAAAATTTTCTTTTATAAAACCTAACTAACACTTTAATCTAAGTGATTTTGTTTGTTGGTAACGCTTTCACGCCCATAACTACAGAGTCGATTATGATGAATTTGGCAGTAAAAGATGGGATTCTGGAGATGCTTATAGGCTACTTTTTCCTCGACAAAATATAATTTGAAGGGGGTGAAATGGAGTTGAAAGTTGGTATGGGAAGCCAAAAATATTTTATTACGCAGACGAGCCGCGGGGGCTTCGATGCGTAATCTAATGTTTTTATAAAAAATAACTCTTTGACTCGTCATCTTATCTATTATTTACAGAGGTTTACTGTAATTTTCGAAATATTTTTGTCAGAGAGACTAAAGATTTCTTGATCTTTGTGACGTGTTCGTTCAAAATAAAGATAGTAAGTCCTAAATAAAAAAAGAAAATAAGATACTGCTATGAATAACAGATCATAGGTAACCCTGACCTTGACATAATTTAATTTTCACAAACATACCTAAAACTTACTAAAATGCTTTATTTCATTCACGTAAATAGGCAACATTGGTTTTATCTGATCCAGTTTTTGAAAGTGAACGCGCTCTATAACTGTTTATTGTTTTTATATCGGTATAAGTACTGCTGACAAAAAATATTCCAGTTATGGAATAGACAACCGCGAGTTGTACTATACGACCTTCATACCACGCGTACTAAGTATTGAATTTAAATACAAGATACCGTTAAGTTCAACTTAAGCTTCTAGCCGGTGGCTAGTAGTTAACTGTCTTACGCAATATTTATAACAGTAGGTAGTTATTATACAATCCACGATTCGACAACTAGGTGGTTAATGAATTGCTCAGTGAACTGGAAAAGTTGTTATTTTTACGGTCGATCTTTGCCGGTATATCTTTTCAGAATAACAATAACTTAACAGTTAATCTAATAGAATGTAAATAAAACTTTAATTGTTTGATGGATTTGATGAGTATAGGGATATAGATTACATATAGTTAGGTAGGGTAGGCAACACTCCAGCGATACTGAGGAAACGAGTATCGCAAGCCTCTTTAGGCAATACTAGCCGCTTACCATCCCGCCAGGCCGGGCATTAGC